TTCCTCGGCCCGAGTGCTGCCCTCTGCGGAAGGGAGCAGCTGCGACCCGGGGTTCCCGGCTGTGCGGCTGTGGACCGAACGAGCTCCGAGCACCTGCCTGAGCCCATTCTGGACTGTCTGCAGCAGTGAGGCAGGGCTGGGGCCCAGAGCAGGTCCCGCGGGGGCCTGGGTGGGCCGAGCAGGACGCCACAGTCTGAGGTGGTCCTGGGTAGGGCAAGGGCGCTGGAGCCCTGGGACCCAGCAGAGTCAGCGCCAGGGGCTTCTGGCCCCACTCAGTGGCCTTTGGGGCTTGTGGCCTGCACTCCTCCCAGGGCCCTGGCACAGCAGCACTGACTGCGAGAGCTGATTTGTGGGCCCCTCTGAGGCTGCTGCGTCCCTACCTTTCAAACGGGATGGGTATACCCCAGCAAGTTCACAACAAGCAATGGGCTGGGAGCAGGGCACCCCACTCCACCGATGGGGTCTCTCTGGGCTGCCTATGGGCACTGACTGACCCCCCCCAGGCACCCCGCAGACACTCCACAGCTGTGGCCCCGGAGGCTGTCCCCACGGCAGCACATGGTGTGCAGGGACTCGGGGCACACGTGGCCTCAGTCTCGTTCTGCCCCAAAACTGACTCAGCAACTGCATCTGCTGAGCCCTCAGTGGGCACCCATCTCCAAGGCTGGCCCTTCACAGCACCTGTAAGACAGGTGTCCCATCCTCAGAGGAGGAAACTAAGGCCCAGGAAGGCTGCAGGTGGCCACGATCACCAGCTGAGGGGGCAGCCACAGGACCTTCAGATCATGGCCTGTGGGAGAGGCTGGGTTAGGTCCCAGGAGGCCCTGAAACAGAAGTCAGGGCATGTCTCCCCAGTAGTCCCCAAGACTAGGGACAGGAGGCATTGTCCTAAGAAGAGGCAGGCATGGCCCTGGTATGGGGGAGAACAGTCCTTGCTGCAGAGTGCTTCCTGGGTTCCTAGGGCTCAGAGTCTGGCCGGGGGTCCACTTCCATAAGCGCCGTCCATTTTCCCTAAACCGTGGCCCACTCAGAAGGGCCACACGGGCCTGTGGCGGAAGGTTCCAGGGGCTGTGTCCCAGCTGGAGGATCAGGGCTACAGCTGCAATTCTCTGCCAGGGGCCTGTGGGTCCCAGGACCTGGGACAGATTTTCCAAGACTTAGGCGTGTTTCTGTTTTCCACACTGGAGTCTGAGGACCCCCGCCCATGTCCTCAACTGTCTTCAGGCAGGAGGCGCTCAGACAGGCGGGCCCAGTAGAGGCAGAGCCTTCGAGAGCAGGGCCGGTCCTGAGCCTGGCGACATGCAGCCCATCTGTCTGTTCCTTAGCCTGTGGTATCAGCCCTGATGGCTGCTCTGGGCTGGCCTCACTGTGTTGTCTTGCCACCTCCCCTCCCCACACCCGGGCAAGAAAGATGCTCCTACATCTCAGATCCACCCCCCTCCAGCCACGTGCCCGCTCTCCTTCAACTCTGTGTCTGGAGAGCCCCGGCCAAGGTCCCCAAGGTCCTTGCCCTCAGAATGCCAGCTTAGCCATCCCCCATGACCCAGGGCTGCAGTGTGAGAAAGCCCCCTGCCCTCTGGGCAACACCCAGGCTCAGGACATGGGGTGTCCCCTCCATACTTGTCCCCTTTCCACCATGGGCCAGGCCCTAGGGTTCCCTCTCCCTGACCTCCACGCAGCAGTACTCAGTCAAGCAGTTAGGGGGTCCTGGGGCTGAAGCCCTCCCATAGTGCTGGCCCAAGGCAGTGGGCTCTGAGTGCCCCCTGCCTGCTGCACGTGGAAGTGACCCTTCTCAGGCTCCACAGGGCCAGCTGGGAGAGGGAACCTGGAGTTTGGAGGCCCTGGGACCCGGGACCTGCCGGTGACTCCTTGGGGACTAGGTCTCATCCCCACACTGCCCTTCCTCGACGTGGGGGGTTGGGGACAATGGCAGAGGGGTTGCTTCCGTGTTGATTTCTGCCCCCAAAAACACAGCCCTAAGGTGTGAGGGCCCCCTGCCCCAGCCAGCGGATGGGCAGGAGCCTGGCCAGGTGGCCAGGGCCCAGCACTCTGGCAGGAACTGCCTGTTCCCCCGTAGCACTTGCTCTCTTGGTCACTGGCTAGCTTGAAGCCCCACAGCCCAGACACCCACTCCAAGCCAACCAGCATCCCTTCTTTTCCAGGGGTGGCCATAAGCACGTACGCCAAGTACTGTTACCACAAGCTACAGAAGGCGGCCCTGACTGGGGCCAAGAAGGTACCAGCTTCTCCCAGGACAGTCGGGCAGGGGTGGGTGGGCTGTGCCGGTGACAGCTAGACAGGGTCCAGAGGGAGGCAGGGAACCTTGGGTGAGCCTCAAGCCTAGCCTACACCTTGGGGAGGCAGTGACAGCTCACAGTGTGGAGGGTGATGCGGGGAGCCCACCAGCGCAGGCAGTCAGGGAAGGCCTCGGGCAGGGGCGCACCTCCAGCTGAGGAGCCAGTGCAGGCAAAGGGGTATGTGGCTAGGCCTGGGCAGCAGGTCACCAGACATACTGAGGGTGGCGGCAGCAGTAGCTGTCACCCTCTGGCTGTTACGGCTGGGTGCCGAAGGCCCGGCCCATGGGCAGACTGAGACCACTCCCAGAAGGGCCCTCACACCTGGAAGATGGGATCAGAAGGCCACCATGTGCTCCTTTGCAAACACTGAGCCACTGCTGGCCATAGTGCAGGTGTGAGAGCCCAGACCCATCATAGGGCTCCTGCCAGGGCTGGACGCCACCCCACAGCTGGTCCCAGGTAGGCAGACAGGTGGCTCCAGCAGCACCCTCCACAGCTGCTTCCCTGACACTCAGCCACTGGCCTCGTTGGGACCTCCTACCACCTGGCGGAGCTTGGCAGCCAAAGCCCACCGCATCCTCCCCGAGACCGCACTCTGCAGCTCCTATAGAGGGACAGGCCTCAGGCACACCTCACAGCTGGGTCTTGTTCCCTGGACTGTTGGGATCTGGGGTCATCCTCCCCTCCTGCCCGCTCTGGACGGTGCAGCGTCTGCACCCCTCCTCCTCCTCCCTTGCACCTACTGCCCCACCCCAGAAGCCCCTCGGGCCCTCCTGCACCTGACCCTCCCTAACACGTCGAAGGCAGCTGCTCACTGCACTGTCTCAGAGATCCGCCACCTGGCCACTTCCTCATCTCCGGAATGCACTGCTCCAGCCCTGCTGCAGTCACACTTCAGAAGCCACAGCCTGCAACCACCCCAGGCTTCTCCCCTCGCCGCTACCCCAGAGTGACCTCAACGTGGCCCAGATCTGCCAGCCTGGTCCCTCTGGCCCCGGGAGTCACATCACCTTTCTCCCATGAAGCTTTGGGGGCCTGTAGGTGGCCCAGCAGGAGGGTTACCCGGGCTGGGCAGCCCCCGGAGCAGTGGGTGGGGGGAGAGCCGGGCAGCCACGCCACGTGGGACAGCTGGGCTGCCTCTGCAGGGGCTGCGGAAGCCCAACGTGGAGGAGATCCGGCACGCCAAGAACGCCGTGTTCAGCCCCTCCATGTTCGGCAGCGCGCTGCAGGAGGTCATGAGCATGCAGAAGGAGCGCTACCCGGAGCGGCAGCTCCCCTGGGTACAGACGCGGCTGTCTGAGGAGGTGCTAGCGCTCAACGGCGACCAGACGGAAGGCATCTTCAGGTGCCTGCAACCTGGGTCCCGGGTGTGGCAGCCTTGGGTGTCTCCACCATACGTCTCAGGCAGACAAGGGCCATTGGGCGGCAGGGTCAGGAGACCTGTGCCCCTGCCTCGGAGCAGCCACTGAGGCCCCCCAAAAGGCCAGCATGCTAGTGGGGAGAGGCACCTGGAGCAAGTGGAAGGGCAAGGCCACTGTGTAGCCAGGAGAGGCAGGGCAGCAGGGACGTTCCCCTAAGTGGCAGTACACCTAAACCCAGGCAGGAGAGCTGGCCAGGGACAGTGCCCCTGCAGAAATAGCCACCAGGGGCCCAGAGGGTGCTCAGACACCAACCATGGGTAGAACCCACAAAGATGCAGCACCCTCAGCAGTCAGTCCTCACCAGTCCCTGCCCCATGGGGAGTGGCACATGGCCAGTCACCTGCTGTCGTGACTCACGTACCAGAGCTCCAAAAGGACAGCTGGGGAAACAGACTTGTGGGTTTGGACCTCTGGCCCTGCGTGGAGGGAGGTGGGACTAGCCTGAGAGCCCCAAGCTACATCTCTGTGCTTCACAGAGTCCCTGGGGACATTGATGAAGTGAACGCCCTGAAGCTACAGGTGGACCAGTGGAAGGTGCCTACAGGCCTGGAGGACCCCCATGTCCCTGGTGAGCCCCAGCCCCTGGTCAGCAGGAGCAAGCCCAGTCCATGCGGTTCCGACATTCCGCTCCCCCTAGTAATGTGGCAGCTCCTGGTCCGATTCTGGTACAGACACCCCCCCTTTCCACTGGACAGTTGCACCGCCCCCCCTTGACTGTGCTCCCAGTCCTTCCAGCATTGTCTGCTCAGGGCAGCTGCACAGCCCTTGGGAGATGTCACTTTGCTCGTCAACCCGGCATATCCCTCAGGTCCATAAGCTCAGTAGGGCTCGGCCCTGCGGCCCACCGCGGCCAAGTGGTCTCTTTCCAGTCTGGTCCCGCCCCCACACAGCCCCTTTCATTCCCTCCGCCCGGGTTAGGCGGGTGCCAGCCCCGCAGGCCTGGCTGAGCCCCCGCACTGTGTCCACAGCGTCTCTGCTGAAGCTGTGGTACCGGGAGCTGGAGGAGCCCCTGATCCCGCACGAGTTCTACGAGCAGTGCATCGCGCACTACGAGAGCCCGGAGGCCGCCGTGGCCGTGGTGCACGCGCTGCCCCGCATCAACCGCCTGGTGCTGTGCTACCTCATCCGCTTTCTCCAGGTGCGCGGTGGGCCCCGCCCAGGGCACGCCCCCTCCCTGGACACGCCCCCTGACCCCCGGCCACGCCCCACGCCCCGCCCCGGCCCACCAGCTGCTGCTCTGCACAGGTGTTCGTGCAGCCCGCCAACGTGGCCATCACCAAGATGGATGTGAGCAACCTGGCCATGGTGATGGCGCCCAACTGCCTCCGCTGCAGATCGGACGACCCGCGTGTCATCTTCGAAAACACTCGCAAAGAGATGTCATTCCTGCGCGTCCTCATCCAGCACCTGGACACCAGCTTCATGGAGGGCGTGCTATAGCACGTGGGCCAAGGGTGGGGACAGAGCCCAAGCTCGGGTGCACCCGGGCAGGAGAGCAAGCGGGGAGGGGGGAGGGAATGCCCCAACTGCGGAGGTCGCATGCCAGGCTCCGCTGGTGCCCGCCCTAGCCCTGGAATCTCCCATCTCCCCCACCCAGGCCTTCGGGCTGAGGGCACAGCCAAGGCAAAGGAGCTACGGGAACGCCCCCTGCCTCGTGGCCAGTTCCGTGGGCACCGCACCCCTCCACCCCACCCCCACCCCCGCACTCCGGCCGTGGGTCAGCCCCGAGAAAGTGCCTTCTGTTGCCTGGAGCCAAGTGACACTGCCCCTGCCCTGGGGCCCCGAGGGCACACGTTGCCCTCCCCGGGGCGAGCTGCCTCCCAGTTGCTCCTGCACTCAGCCTGGCCCTGGCCCCGGCCCCAGCCCTGCCAAGGCTGCCCCCCTCTCTCTCGGTGTCCGGCCTGCAGCTTCTGGCCCCAATTTCCTGTCCACCGGTGACCTCCACCATAGTGACTACACCAGAGTTTGGGGGCTCCAGGGCACTGGGCTGTCTACCACCAGAGCCAGGCTGGGCTGGCCCAGGGCCCAGCAGGCTATCTCTGGGCGGGGAGGGGCCCCCAAACCAAAGTCCTGTGGGGGGCAGGGTTAGGCAGGCATTATTGGGGCAGGGTGGGGGAGGGGCAAGAGTATTTTTCGTGGTGTAATTATAAATTCAGAATCTGTCCTGCACCCAGCACATCTGTGTATAGACATATAAATAGTGAAAAATACAAGAACTAATTTGCTAATGACAGTTTTAACCCAAATGCTATTTATCTCCAAGCCATCCTAGCCAGTCCTCTGTGCAGAGCAAGTTGGTATTATTCCTTTATTTTCTCCTCAACTTTTCTTGGCTTCCGACCAAAAACCAGACCCTGCCCTGAGCCCATTCGGGACCAGCAGCAGAAGCAGGGAAGGAGTTGAGCTTGGGGACCAGCGGGTGCCTAGGACTGCCTTCCCTGGAGGCCAGAGCTGGGGGGGAGGGGTACGTAGACTCTCAGTTTGTATCTTTTCCACTTTGGAATTTCGAGTTCCAATTATAAAACAATTTCTCCCCAGTTACATATATATAATTTTTTTAGAGTTTTTATTTATTATTTAAAAAAGCCCAGCCCTGTGAGACCCAGGTGATCTTGGGCCTGCATCCTCAGCAGGGTGGTCTGTGGGGCCTGGGGTGGCCTGGCCACAAACACTCTGATGCAGGTGACAACTCTGTGTGAATAAAGTACATATGGAAACTTGAAGCCATGGTCCCTGCCTGTCCTCTTCCATTCCTTCCAGTAGCTGCAGGGCTCTAGGTTGGGAGCTGGCCAGTCCAGTGTTCAGCGGATTGCTGATATGGGCACCTGGATAGACAGGCCAGGGGAGAAGGGGAAAGAAACGAGTAGAAGATGGGGGGGAGGAGGGCGGGGGAACGAGCCCGTTTCCCTGGGATGGGGGCGAGGCGATGGTCCAGAAGGAGGCTCCATGTAGGGCAATTGCGAGGCCGTTTAGAGCCGTCTGCCGCCACCTGGGGTATGGGACTTGCCCCGGAAGCCCTGCCTAGGGAGGTGGGCTTTTTCTGACCCGCCCTCCCCCAAACCAGACATAGGCTTCTAGGCAGAATGTTTATTCACCTCTTTATTCAGCACCTAGTTGGACGCGCAGACTCAGTCGCGACGAGCTGGCTTCTCAGAGGGTGGGGGAGACAGGCCAGTGCCGGCGGCCAACCTCCGAGGGTAAAGGCGCAGAGCCCGCGAGACAGCGCCGCGTCCCAGCCTGTCTCCCAGTTCATGAAACTGCCTGCAGCCCCGTTTGACACCCGCACCGCGCTGTCAGGCGGCCCTGCGCGCCAGTGTCTCCCCAGCCCGACGGCAGGGTGGGCTGCCCTCACAAGCCCAGAAAAGGAAGAACATTCCAGCCGCCCGGAATGCGGGGGGAACAGGCGGCCAGGCCGGGCGAGGTCAGCAGCTGTTGCCGGAACCCAAAATGCAAGGCCTTGGCTCCGGGGAGACGCGTATTCGTGCTGCGCCGCCACCACATGACCCACCAGCCTCTTCCGGCTCGGGAAAAGAATGTGGCCGGCGTGCGGGGCGCTCCGGGCTTGGGCCTTGCCCTTGGCGCGGCCGCTCGGGGCACGGGCCTGCGGTGGGGGCGGGGGCATCTCCTACACTCAGGGCCAGAGCCCCGAGCCCCGCACACGCGAGTACTTTTACTACGTGGATCATCAGGGCCAGGTGGGCCGGGGGCGGGGCCGCGGAAGGTCCCTGCAGGAGGGGGCGGTGGGAGGGGTGGACAGAGTCTCTAAGGTAAGTGAACCCGACTCTGCTGAGCTAGAGCAGCGCGCTTGAGAGACTGGGGCGCCCAGTACCAGCTCAGCTCAGCTCAGCTCAGCCCCGCGCGCTCCGCATCCCCAGTTCTTTACCTACCCTTCTGCCACCAGCCCCGCCTTCTTTGGAAACCCTGGCAGGAGCAACCACCATAATTCCGAGGAAGCAAGTCTAGCCTCCACGGGGGAGGTGTCACAGCAGACTAGAAAAGCGAAAGGAGGCGGGAAGAGGCGCGGGAAAGGCACGTCACTTCAGGAAACCCGTGTGCCAGGAAGCACCTTCCAGGGTGCGGGGTAGATGCGGGAAAGTTGACAGAGCTCCCAAGTTGATCTACATGCCTCTCTGTGCACGGTGTGCACAGACGAGCAAGGAAAGCGGACTTAGGCCCGCCTAGAGGTCCCCGCCTATGGGAGGTCTTCCCACTGGGACTCATGGGCCACGCTTGTCCCTCTGTCTGCAGCTTTTCCTGGATGACTCCAAAATGAAGAACTTCATCACCTGTTTCAAAGGTACTGCTGCGCCCTCCTCCCCCCACCTTCCTTATCCCTTCCGGAGAGGCGCTGGAGGGCTCTGCTCCCCAACCCCGCCGCAGCGGGGGAATGGGCGTCCTGAGCTCAAGAGCCCGCTATCCAAAGTGAAGTCGCGATGGCCCTCCGACAGCCGGCGCCGGCCCTTGGCGAGCCGTTTGCCTGGGAACCTTGAGTTCCTGGCACGGTGAGCAACCTGTGCCCTTCTGTCCCCTAGACCCGCAGTTCCTCGTCACCTTCTTCTCCCGTCTGAGACCCAACCGCAGCGGCCGCTACGAGGCCTCCTTCCCCTTCCTCTCTCTCTGCGGCAGAGAGCGCAACTTCCTGCGCTGCGATGACCGGCCTGTGGTCTTCACGCATCTGCTGGCTGCGGGCCCCGGGCCCCCGCGCCTCTCCTACTGCGGCGGCGGCGAGGCCCTGGCCGTGCCCTTCGAGCCGGCTCGCCTGCTGCCCCTGGCCGACAA